AATGCTGCTAATGAAGTTTCTCTATCACCTGTCACAGTTAACAAGATTTTATTATCGAATACGTAGTCCATAAGAATGAGCCTAATGTAGGTCTAACTCTTAAGAACTAGACGAACCCTATTAAATTGTCGTAACTTATTTATGTTATTTTTACAGTGCAAAATCGTTTGTTGTAAAATACAAATTAAATATAAATTTAAAAACTGCCTGAATAACCAATACCAATGCTTTATTTAATCTACTCGTAAACGTAGTGTATTTACTCGACAGTAATTACTTGACCTGAGAGACCTCGCAGAGGCCAGCCTCATTGCTACAGACGATTGTGTTGTCACAGCAAACTCCCCCCCCCCCTCCAGCGAACCTGGCCAATAATTACTTAAACCATCTTAATGGAATCTATTCTTTAATTGTAAAAGGTTGGACATTTTGTTAAGTACTGTAATAGGGTGATCATTTTTTTTTAATCTAGCTTGATTAACATGATTCTTTGGTTAGATAGAATGGTTAAATAGAACTATGTTAATTGGTGAATATGTATAAAAAATCTGCCCATTTGTTAAATTTTGAATAAAAAAATGGGTATTAACTAAAATTGCTTCATAGGTACACATAATTAGTGTTCTTATGGCAAATTTCTCGATAACGTACTTTTATTATTATAAAAAAAAACTATGTATTAGATTAGTAAAGAGTAATTAATAAGTAGGTAGGTTCACAAGTTATAACAAAAACTTTAACAAAAGAAGAATTCGGGAGTTTGTTAAGGAATTACTAACACTAGGTACAGAAGAACATTTTAAGAGGGTTAGCAAAAACGGACCATTTAAAATTGTTTTAAAGACACGACACCAATATAATATCAACAACAACGTATTTCTAAACTCAATGCCTATGTGGCTTTGACCATTTAAAATTGTTTTCAAGACACAAACCCAATCTAAGATCAACAACAACAGTGTTTCTAAGCTCAATGCCTATGTATTATGTGGTTTGGACAGTCTGTAGCGTGTAGGGAACACGACAGGTTTTACGTATTACATTGACGGTTTGAGTAATGTTTTGTAGATCTAGAAGATTTGTTATTCTTTTTTTATTACATGTGTATACTTCTTCATTTTGTTCATCTTTTACTATACACTGGCTTTTTATATGATCTTTCATCTGATCCAAAGTTCGCGCTTCGTGAGGTAAAACTGCATTGTGAACATTTGCTAATGGTAAGTTTTTACATTCAAAAGTGGTAGTCTTTATATTATTATGTTTATATTTATCGGTTATTACAGAAACTTGTTTAACAACTACCACATCTTCAGGATTTACTCCACCTTTTACATTAGTTATCTTTTTGTTCTCAGCATTCCAATCTCCATTCTTTTGTAACATGATTTGACTTATAGTGGCAGCATCTGTTGGTTTTAAACCTTCTTTAACCTTATGTAATATTTTACCTTTGCAATCAATGTGTTCATTATCGTGAATATTACAATTATCTTTAACATATTTGAGGTTAACTGCATCCGCATCTTCTTTAGGGTATCCTATATCATTTATAACAAAGTTATAAAAAGAGAATCTTATGTTCTTTTTTTTTGGGATTATAGAATGTAAATATCCTTTATTGACTGAATCTTAACTATCGACAGGATCAGCTAAGTTTGTAACTCTTCTGTTTTTAACATCGTAAACTTCATTATTAACTTGTAAAGTATTTGACAGCTTTGAAAGTAAATAATCTTTGGTGATGGAATCAGAGTTTTCTATTGGTTCACCAAAATTTGTGATTCTATAAGACTTGGCATTATTAAAATTGTAAGCTCAATTATATTTCACTTTTTAAAGTTTTCAAATTTATTGCATCATTATCATCTTCTGAATCTTTTACAAACTTCAATCGTTTGCTGCTTATGTTATAATCTCCTTCAGCTGTTAATGGTAAACTATATCTTTTACCATTGGATTTTGGTTATTCTCCAAAATTGGAATACCTTCCAAACTTTACCACGCTCATGATTCAACTGAGTTCCTTCGATTCTTGTCCTCCTTTATATATGCGATGATTAAGCAATAATCCTTCGATTTCGTAGTTCATCGATTAAAGCTACCCATTCATTGTCCAATCCGGTATGACCGGCTTCCATGGCTTCATGTAATAATCTCATTCGATCAACCAGCTTATTGTCATCATTATAATATATTATGTTGGTATTGTATAGGCTTTTTAATAATCCTTTCCCTGAAGATGTAGGTTCGTTGGTTCTTGGTCTTTTGTGTAAAACATTTAATTCAGCTGTAGATATAGCTCTTCTTTTAAGTTGAGATTTTTTCACTTGTGTTGGAAAAAGATCAGCTATTACACTTGTGTATTTTATTGATCGATTTCGATAAATGGGCATATCTTTGGAATACTGCTTTTTATGGGCATTTGTATCATTAAGTATGTTTTTAAACACTGATAGGTCTTTTTTGGTATATTTACCAGTTTTGTTTTTAAAAGTCTTCTAGTCTAGCTCCATAAATTTGATATCTTCTATTAGCCTGTGTTGAATGTAACATTGTTAATAAATAGTTTCTACCCAAATTCCCTTTGAATGCTATGTTTGTGCTTAATGTACTTAAATTTGAAGATTAGTAGATTCTTCTTCTTGACCTGCGGAAAATCCTTCCTTTTCTCTTGGATCTTCAGTTTCTTCATTTTCTTAGCTCTCACCACTTTCTTCAGTTGATTGAAATTGTTTGTATTGTTCATAATCTCTTGATTCTTTTTCATACTTGGAAATCGGTAGAATAGCATCTCCTTCGAAAGATTTTCAATTTTCCTAACTAATCTGTTTAAAGGATCAGTAACGGGTTTAAATGTTGGTTCTATAAACTTTTCTCTTTCGCTTATACCTAACTTAAGAGCTCTGTTTTTATGTCTAATAGAATCACTAAGTGATTTTATTTCTTTTAATAGCTTTTCTTGACTTGCCATGTTTACAGTACGAAGTGTTGATTTAAAATAATGATATTTAGTGTAGCAGAACTTATTTATCAAACCCTATTCTATATCGTCCGTCTTTTATGGCTTGTTTTTTCATAATGACCAAAAATCCATACTTTTCTGCCCATGCTTTTCCACAAATTTGTTTAAACTTGTCAAATGTCATATCAGCATTTACATGATCGTTATATACGTGTTTCAGGTTGGTTACATCTTGGTTGAACAAAATTATAACATTTGCATTATCTCTGATAAGCTGCTTTGCAATTTTACTGTATGTTTGTCCTATATATATGCTGTCGATATTATTATGTCTTACCATGGCGAAATAGTTCCTAATAGTATCATGATTTTCACATGAAATGTCATCGAATAGAAATACTGAATATGGTTTAGCTTGGTTTGGTTGCAAAACTATCACTGGCGTTAAATTTATAAAAGTTAACACCTGACACATTCGATACCGGTATGATTTTTTCTAACAATTGATACTTTGGCTGATGTAGTGACTTTGAAAAACATTATAAGTTATTAAACCTCAATCCTTTAGGATTTGTAATCAAATTAAATACGACATTAGTTTTTCCACAGTTTGAAGGACCACTTATAATACATCTGACTACATCCACTACAATGTAAACCTTTAACGTTCATCTGTCCGAGATTTGACTATCACAACGGTGGTACTACCACTTCCCAAAATCCCCATCAAATGTTCAATTGAGAGGTTGATGCAAGCGGTAATGTTCGTGTTCCCTCCAGCCACTCACAGTTCTTCGTCCAGAAAGATAACCAAACAACAGAAAACACTATAAAGGAATTGGATTTTTGATATACATTGTAAATTACATGATAATATAGTAATGTAACGGAAAACTGCCCTGTGAATAATCACTTTTAAACATTCACTTCATCACATTGAACTATAACTACATGATAATCAGTAAAATACGATGTAAGGTAAATCAATTTAACCATAGACAAAAAGAATAACTTTATCACTGGCGTTAAATTTATAAAAGTTAACACCTGACACCTTCGATATGATTTTTTCCAACAATTGATACTTTGGCTGATGAAGTGACTTTGAAAAAATGTATAAGTTATTAAACCTCAATCCTTTAGGATTTGTAATCAAATTAAATACGTCATTAGTTTTTCCACAGTTTGAAGGACCACTTATAATACATCTGACTGTGTTTGGAAGTAAACTACCATGTTTGCCAGTGTTGATTGTGTCGTTATCAACAGTGTAATCATCAATATTACTAATGTTGAATTGATCTTTATGATGAACAATCTCCATCTTATTCAAAATCCAATGGCACAATGAGCTGTTCCCATTAAATTAGGTCTTTTTACAGGTATCAAAGAATCTTCTGTTTTGTTAAAACCTAGCCAACGTACTTTAACTTGGTATTTTTTCCTTTGTAACGCTTTTTCAACAAGATATACATCACCTACTATAGACTTCAATAGTTCATGTCCGTAGAACGCACCTTGTAACCTTTTTGGTTTTTGGCTAAAATCTCGACAACCGTTGGCGGATGATAAAATTGGTTGTATACCAAATGAAAAATCATTAAACTTACAACAAAATGACAGCTACACTCTTATTTTATTCCCAATGTTTACCGAGTAGTAGAACTTTAGAGTATGGCGTATTTTCTCAAACTGTCAGGGTGCGAACAACGGTGCAAACTAAAGTAAGTTATAAGTTAGACGGATTGAGAAAAAATGCCATATTTTGGCACCCTATAGCTCGGTAACCTTTAGAAATAATATAACTTAAAAATGTAAATTTAATTTTTCTTGGAAATTTCAAAATCTTTCATTTAATAGCCTATGAAAGATTTTATCACTTTTAGCTAACCTATGACAAACGGTTCTTGAGATTTTAGCCAAAAACACATAACTAACATAATGTAGCATAATGTACCCTGTTTCGCTAATTGCCACTAGAGCTCACCTTATATTTAGCGGGACTTTTAGCCGAAAAAATTTTATCTGATCAGACATGGCCGAAGACAACCTGAAAACAACACTGTATGTTGGAGACCTCAGTGCTTCAGTTACAGAGGAACAGTTACATTTTTGGTTTTCTTTCCGCAGTGATATAAAATCAATGGTTATTTATAAAAGATCAAGTCTATTTGCATTTATAGACTATTATGACCATGAAGGGGCAGCTTCAACTCTGGCTGCGTTGAATGGAACAATACTGCTAGGGAGAAAAATGAAGGTGGAGTGGGCCAGTGACAATGCCCGTCGAAAAGACTATGTTATATTTGTCGGAGATCTGTGCTCAACAATCGATGCTGTTAAGTTGGGAGAAGCGTTTGCTACGTTTGGTGAAATCTCGGATGGTAGAATAATAGTGGACCTTGAAACACTCAAGTCAAGGTACTATGGGTTTGTCTACTTTATTGAAAAAGCAGATGCTCAAAAAGCTATTACTGAAATGAACGGCCAGTGTTTAGGAAGTATTGTGTTTTATTCTTTTTAATACTAGTTTAGCACTTTTACTGTTTACTTCATTTGGCGTCATCCAAATCGTTCTGTGAAACCTGTTGTTGTAATCACTTATTAACTTTGGTAAAATATCAATCCATAAGTAGGTTCCTGTGTTTGAAAACATTTTATACATTGCTCCTTTTAACGTTCTATTAAATCTGTCAACTATGGCCGCTTTTCTTACAGATTTGGTTGAGTCCCGCTAAATATAAGGTGAGCTCTAGTGGCAATTAGCGAAACAGGGTACATTATGTTACATTATGTTAGTTATGTGTTTTTGGCTAAAATCTCAAGAACCGTCTGTCACAAGTTAGCTAAAAGTGGCAAAATCTTTCATAGGCTACCAAATAAAAGATTTTGAAATTTCCAAGAAAAATTAAATTTACATTTTTAAGTTATATTATTCCTAATGGTTACCGAGCTATAGGGTGCCAAAATATGGCATTTTTTCTTAATCTGTCTAACTTATAACTTACTTTAGTTTGCACCGTTGTTCGCACCCTGACAGTTTGAGAAAATACGCCATACTCTAAAGTTCTACTACTCGGTAAACATTGGGAATAAAATAAGAGTGTAGCTGTCATTTTGTTGTAAGTTTAATGATTTTTCATTTGGTATACAACCAATTTTATCATCCGCCAACGGTTGTCGAGATTTTAGCCAAAAACCAAAAAGGTTACAAGGTGCGTTCTACGGACATGAACTATTGAAGTCTATAGTAGGTGATGTATATCTTGTTGAAAAAGCGTTACAAAGGAAAAAATACCAAGTTAAAGTACGTTGGCTAGGTTTTAACAAAACAGAAGATACTTTGATTTATTTGCTTTTAATTGGGTAAAAGACCTAATTTAACGGGAACAGCTCATTGTACCATTGGATTTTGAATAAGATGATTTGTTCATCATAAAGATCAATTCAACATTAGTAATATTGATGATTACACTGTTGATAACGACACAATCAACACTGGCAAACATGGTAGTTTACTTCCAAACACAGTCAGATGTATTAAAAGTGGTCCTTCAAACTGTAGAAAAACTAATGACGTATTTAATTTGATTACAAATTCTAAAGGATTGTGGTTTAATAACTTATACATTTTTTCAAAGTCACTACATCAGCCAAAGTATCAATCGTTGGATACAGATGTCAGGTGTTAACTTTTATAAATTTAACGCCAGTGATAAAGTTATTCTTTTTGTCTATGGTTAAATTGATTTACCTTACATCGTATTTTACTGATTATCATGCAGTTACAGTTCAATGTGATGAAGTGAACGTTTAAAAGTGATTATTCACAGGGCAGTTATCCGTTACATTACCATATTATCATGTAATTTACAATGTGTATCAAAATTCCAATTCCTTTATAGTGTTTTCTGTTGTTTGGTTAACTTTCTGGACGAAGAACTGTGAGTGGCTGGAGGGAACACGAACATGACCGCTTGCATCAACCTCTCAATTGATCATTTTATGGGGATTTTGGGTAGTGGTAGTACCACCGTTGTGATAGTCAAATCTCGGACAAATGAACGTTAAATGTTTACATTGTAGTGGCTTACATATTTTTAAGCAAGAAAAAACTGGCCGAAACAGTTACGTTTGTAGGCTACTCTTTTTTTGCCATGAATGAAAGGTTCGTTTACCTCATTTTTGCAGTTTTGTCTGTACATTGTTTAGAATTCTATTTTTTTTTTAATTATTTTTACGTTTTATACATTAACTAGCTGTGCCCACTATTTAAAAACTGTCTATTTAATGCCTAAAGAATCAGTGTACCAAATTTCAACCTCCTAGGTAAATGGGAAGTGGGAGAATTAGTGATGAGTGAGTCAGTCAGTCAGCCAGTGAGGGCTTTGCCTTTTATATATATAGATAAGCCGAAACAAGTCTTATCTCAATTTCTGTCTGTCTGTCAGAGACAAAACTCTAATTTTATTTATATAGATTATTATGGTTTAAAAGACTGTGTGCAATCACAAGTAAGGTGCAGTGGAAACATGCATATGGGACAATTATGCCCTTTCAGCTCTTAGTATAGGTATCGGAAGTTAACTATGATATGTTTAATTGATGTCAGTGTAAGGTACTGAATTTTTATTATTATTTAGTTTTACTCTGTCATAGGATTATTTTTTATCAATACTGACCTCAAAAATAGGTAGGGATTTATATGGTATATACACTACTAAGTCAGTATATCTTTAAAATGTAAATCATATACCGGTGCTTGTACGAGTCCGTAAAAATTACGCACTGTGATAAGTAACCAAATGAGTTATCGCCATTTGCCTGGATTAAAATAAAGATAACTTTTAAAATATTACTTATAACATTGACTTTTGTTATGCATATTTTGGGCAATGTGTTAATAGTTATGATTTAAGATTATTTTGTTATTTTTTTTATTTGTCGGGGAGAAATTTACCCTACACTCCATGGATCTGCCACTGGTTATCAACCTCTTGGTAGGATGAATGGCCAGGGGAGTCCAGCAAGGAGAGAGTGCAGCAGAGTCAGGTTTCGAATCTAGTCTCAGTCAGGTCTTGTAATCAACTATAGAGGAATTCACCTGTCCGTGGTAGTGGTGGGCGTTATATAACGTAATAGGACAAATAACACTAAGTTATTACTTATTATTTACCTATTACTTTGGTAACAGGTTACCGTGAATACCCTATTATTTTTTTAAAATTTTGTGAACCGTTAGAACGAGCTAGTGAAATAACGCTGGCCTTTGTTTAGGCAATCGTTTCAGGGAATCATATTATCTTGTAACCTACCCTGAAGTGGTGGTTCGAACAAGTGAAATAACGCTGACCATGTAATCCTATTAATTAACAGTAACGATGTGGCCGATCAGCTGAAACGTAATGGAAGGGGAAATAATAGGAGACAAAAATAAAACATGTTATTTCACCTATTACCAAAAACTAAGGAACGTTCCTGACTATTACTGAAAAGTAACGGTATTTCCCATTTCTAGTCTGTGTATCAGAGGCTTGGTGGACAGCTCAGATTAAAGTTCACAGAATAGTGGATCTTTGTACACCTCTAATCAGGCATTTCGTTACATTTGCATATTGTTACTGATTGTGTCCATTGACACCTTGTTTAGAAATTATTTAAGTTTTTAATTTCATAAGGCTAAAAGGGAAATGATATGACCAAAGCCATTTAGCAGACCACTTCATAGTCATAACATACAAATGGAATGTGCTTGTTGGCTTGTATGTTCAATTGATGACTACTTGGTCCACAATCCACATCTGGCAACCAATAATACAGAAAGTAAACGTCTCACAACAATTGAAACATATATTTACACTTTTACTGATAAAACCAAAACGGCAATACATTATATCGACCCAAAAGAAACTAGTTTGCTTCATTCAACTAGTTGAAGTCATAATCTCTTTGAAAAATTGTGTCATAGGAGTGTTAAGATATTAACACACATCGTGGTTTTAAGTGTTATGCACCTCTGTTTATATTGTGTCGTAAGCTAACCTGTTGAGGAGGGAGTTTTAAAAATTAAATTTACAAGTAAGCCTACCTAAACGGACAAAAGAATATACATGATTATGATTAATAATTCAAATAAAAAAAAAACAATGGTTAATAAAGTAGTGATTGCCGTAGTTTGGCTTTTTTCAGTTCTGGCAGGTATACCTGCTATGAAATGTGACAGGATGTGAATAGATAATAAAATTATTACGTGTTATTACTCTCTGCAAGTTATATAGATTTCTTTTCAAAACTGTCCTTGCGAGAACTTGTTTATTATTAAACTTAGAAACAAAATATTCCAATTCATAAGGGCTTTGAGTAGATACTTACTGATCAAAATAAGAAGGTTACAATACCTGCAGACTACCTATAGTGGTCCTTGAATATCCAAAAGGATTACGCGTTTCGGTATATTGTTATACCCTCATCAGATCCTATATACAAAACTTAAAGTTTTTCGACTCATGATGTCACGTCACAGTTTTAAAACACAGTTACAAAACATTAATCACGAAAAAACTATTTACAGTAGGGCTACTAATTAAAAACGAGAGACAAAAGTGGACCAATGCATGCGTTTCAAGTGTCGAGTCTCGACTGGAGGTTATCTTGTCCTAGTAGTTGAACTTTGTCCCCCCGGCTTCTTTTATCATTCCTTTCTGTCTCCGTCTAATCCTATTAATGTTTCAAATAATATATTGGACTGGAACAAGCTTTTATTATTTAATAAATCATAAGGGCGAATTTTCGTTGCTTTATATATTTCATAATTTTCCAGAGTTGTCATAATTCTCCAAAAATGAATTTATATGTGTATATTTTTGTGTATATTTTTTTAAACGTTGCGCGAAAGTAAAAATTGCGATTTTTGCTTAAGGTAAAAATGTATGTTCCATTTGATAGTTCTAAATTCAAATTCCTGCAAAACACCTGTCAGACTGCAGTGGAGTGTGTCTCTGTCACAGGTGTATTCTGGTAGCTGTTTGGAGTTGTAAATATGACCAGTGACAGTTTATGAGTCCCACCGCTGTAAACGATATTAACCTGATGTTTTATGTCGCTATCAATCATATACTGACAATGTTTCAACCGTTATGTAAGTAGAAACTCAGCTTTTTACTAAGGTTTGTTACTCTTTAAATAATTTAGGTGTAATGTCTGTTACTGTATAGAATTCGCCAACTTCCGTACCTTCTTAAAGCCCTTTTAATTTTGTATGTGAGTTAGCCAATAATGAATTGGCCAATTTAAAAGTGATAATCCATGCCCCCTGAAACGATTATTAAAATAATATAGGCATAACGTTTTAGAAGCGATCTTCTATGCAATTGATTGATAACAAAAGTTGGTTACAAAATAACTTAAAATAATGCTTTTCCTTCTTTTTGTTTCCAATTCATAATGTGATAATTTTTTTTTAACTATTTGGTTAAAGGAATACACAGACTATTTCAAAGTCATAACCTATTGATGGAATATGAA